GATCGAACCTACTGCCTCACATGTGCTAGGCAGGTGCTCTACCACTGAGCTACAACCCTAGATTCATTTTTAATTATGACTTTTCCTTGCCTATTATGTGATTCTTTTTAGGACTTTATTTTAGGTCCAACATTAATTGTCAATTTTTTATTAGCAAGGCCAAAGGTATTAACATTATACAATTTCTATTTCTATTTTTATTACAGAATGCATTTAGTATTTCACAAAAAGTTATAGTTAATGAAGTATAAAATCCCAGTGAATTGGTAGGGATAATAATGTAGCAAGCTGATAAAATTTTCACTTAAAAATGCCAAAATGATGTTTGTCTTTTTGGAAGAAAATGTTTGAATGTCATTCATTCGTTCTTTTGAATACAGTTAAGTCATTTCATTAGGTGAAAAAGCTGTGGTTGAAAGCTTTGGAAACAGGTTTGTCTGGAATCTACCTTTCATTGTTCTTCCATGACTGCTGAACCCACTTTGTAGTCTTACAATATGGAGACAAGAACATTCCCCTCCTAGGTCTTTTAATTTTTTCAAGGGGCATACATGATACAAGGTTACTTAACCTGTTCAACATATACCAGATTAGATATCAATTAAGCATTTTTGCAATAAGGTATAATATAGAAATTGAATGAGCTATTTCCCTAAGTAGTAAGTCTCCTTGTCCTGAACACATATAAGCACATTTGTATTTGTTTTGTTTAGAGCATACCTCTGGGGAATACAATTCCCCTGAGTCTTGAACAGGGCTTGGTGCAGAGGTATAACCAATAAATATTTCTTGTATGAGTCAATAAAGCAAAAAATGGAAGCACAAAATAGATGGCATTTCAGCTAACTTTTTTGGGTAATGGATCATCCTAAAGGTGGCGGCTTCAAACAATTCCTTATTTTTCATGACTCTGTGGATTGGATAGATGCTCTGAGTATCTCATATTTCTGAGACCCCAGCTCTACAGTAGGGACAACTGGGTGTCTCTCATTTTCCTGGAGCCTTTTCACTGGGCCTCAGCATTCTAGGACAGTGAGAGCAAAAGCTGCAATGTTGGGCTTCAAACTCACTTCTAGGGCATTCTACTAGTCAAGAAGTTTACAAGGCCAGCTCAGAAGAAGTAGGGAAACTGACCTCACCTTTGATGGGAATTGTTGTGAAGAGTCTGTGCTGTTTTCTTAATTTATCAGAGATGACCAACTTTAAAAGAAACCTCTGTTAGAGAACTCTTACAATAGGAGGCAGATTGGTCAAGCTGACCAAAATCCCTCCAACTCTGATTCTCACCAAGCTGAATCTTGCCATGTTTCTCAGAATAATTACTAGCTGTTGGTATTTGGAAACCTCAATTTTCCTCTGGTAAAGTATTTTTAAAATATAATTCAATGAATAATTGTTTTCAAACTATTACTTAGATATTATTTATATTCTTCCTTTAACTATTTCGAATCCCCACAATTTTCTCGTTGAGAGTGATATTTACATCTCATTATAGTAATATTTAACTAGCTCTATTTTTAATTCTAGTATAGTAGCAGCATTCTTTTTTTATGCTTTGTTGATCATTCTATGTTAGGTAAACTGTTTTCACTTATTCATCCATCAAATACTTAATTTTTAAAGGAATCTCTAGGATTAAAAATATTAAGTTCTTATTTTATTCTATATCAGAGGAGAGTGATTCTATTATTGCCTTGGTATTTACTGTCATTTACTATTAAAGTTACAAATCTACTTTTTTACATTCTTTCATGAAGCTTTATTAAAGATATGCCTCTTGAGACTATTTTTAGCAGTGACAGCTACAGAGACACATGATGCAGAACTATCACTGTACCTTACAAATAATATATGAAAACTCTGTGAGGGGCTGGGATTGTGGCTCAGTGGTAGAGCACTTGCTTCACATGTGTGAGACACTGTGTTTGATTCTCAGCACTGCATATAAATAAATTAATAAAATAAATTCCATCAACAACTAAAATATTTCTAAAATATAGTTTATTTTAAAAAAAAGCCTGTGAAACTCTCTATTAAGAAATTTCAGGGGGCTGGGGTTGTAGCTCAGTGGTAGAGTGCTTGACTGGCAGGTGTGAGGCACTGGGTTCTATCTTCAGCCCTACATAAAAAAATAAATAAAATACAGGCATATTGTGTTCATCTACAACCAAAAATATGAAAAAAAGAAGTTTCAGAACAAACCTATTGCAAAAACAGTATGAGAAAGGCTGCACTGTTTAAAGCTAAAGTTATTAGAAAAAGTCCACGCAGTAACATTTGTCTAAATACAAAAAGTTCATAAGTAACATTTTGTTAGTGGATGCAATTAGTTGAAAATAAAGACATATTTTTGGTAATTTCTGACAAATATTTGACAATGAGTTCAAATATAACCATTTTGGTCATCACTGTAGGAATTTACTTTTAAAATTTGAATGTGACATTAACCTACTTCCCCTAAATTTAACATCCACATTTCTTTCATCCAACTCTTCCCAATCCCTCCAAAAAATTAAAACCAAACTTGAATCAACTCACAACCCTTTTAGAGAAGCCAGTTCATCTCTGAATTTTGTGTGCTAGCTCTTGAATAGATTGATAATAAACCTGATATAGTAACATATCCAGGAAATCTTTTTCTTTTCTTTTTTTTTTTAAGTAAACTTTATTTTTCTTAGCTAGTTACCTACTACCATAACTAGACCTAAATGACATTCTCATTAACAACTTTACTTCTTAGTTTTAGGTTCACAGAAAAGATGAAGAGAAAGTCCAGAGTTCCCATTTGCTTTTGACCCTAATGTCCAGTTTCCTTTCTTTTGACATCCTGCATTGATGTTGTCCATTTCTTCATGAGCCAATATTGATAATAAACATAGCAATATTTATACAATTTTTTTTGAAGTTCTGGGGATCAAACCCAGGGCCTTGCACATGACTAGGGAAGCACTTTGCCACTCAACCCCAAATAGATGATTAAAGTCCATAGTTTATAGTAGGGCTTTTTCAGCTCATTACTGTTTCTGTTGTGTAGTTCTATGGGTTTTGCTAAGTGTATAATGTTATATATCCACCATTACTATATTATACAGAATAGTTTTACTGCCCTAAGAATATCTAGTGCTTCACCTAATCAACCCTCCCCCCAAACTCTACTTTTCTTCTTTAATACCCAAGCCTAGGGTAACATTAATTAGTTGGAGCTAAGAATTTGCTTAAATAACCAGTGATTCCCCATGGCAATCAAAATGTCTTAATCATTAATGTAGACTGGCACTGTCCAAAAAAAAAAAAATACAATGTGAATAATGTGTGTATTTAAAATTTTCTAGAAGTTGCTTTAAAATCTAATAAGATGAATGAAGTTAACTTAATGTTTATTTTATTAAAATATTAGTAATTTCAACATGAAACCTAAGTGAAGATTGATACTTTCACTTTTTTTTGGTACTAATTCTGGAAATTCCGTATGCATTTTACACTTACAGAATATCTCATTTCAGGCATTCTGAGTGTTCAGTAACCACAACTAGCCAGTGACTAAGGGTTTTGACAGCAAAGATGCATCCTCTCAGCAACCTGAATGTATGTTCTTCCAGGCTTCTGGAATAGGCATGCAGCCAATCTGTTTTAAAATATTGCTATATTTTTATTGGTGCATTACAATTATACATAATATGGGATTTGTTGTTACATGCCTACAACAACATAATTTAGTCAATTTTGTTTTCCCGCACTTCCCCTCGATTCCCTTCCTCTACTTTGCTGGGCTCCCTTCTATTTTTATAACCCCCGCCCCCTTCTCTATCTTGCACACATGAAAAACAGGACTCTTGACTTTTTGAGTTTGGCTTGTTTCACTTAACATTATGCCCTGAAGTTCCATCCATTTTCTTGTGCCAATGACTTCATTTTTTTTTTCATGGTTGAATAAAGCGGTCAATATTTTTTAAAGGTATATATTAGAAAGATAAAAGGGCTCTTTAAACCTCTGGGTGCTGATTCTTACATGTTCTGAAACCACAGTCTTTAAAACTCACCAGCTTCAGTAAAAGTAGACTGGGGAACAACCTTTCCCGCATATCAAACCAGTGAGTATTGGGCTTCCTGACTCCAAGAAAGCCTGAATCCTCTGAAATGTTGACTCACTGCTTTAAGGTGATTGAAATGTAACGTGAACCAAATTTGCACTTCCAAAGAATCTTGCTGCTACCACTTCCCTCTCTCCCTCCCTTTCTCTTTTTGGATGACTCATTCTCCTACCCTGTTAGAGTCCTGCAGCAAGCAAGCGCCCAAAACTCCGTTTGGGAGAAGAGCCGACTTTTAGATGGTGGACCCGATATCCCCACATAATCTAGCACAACTGTTTTTGCCTACCGCACTCAGGGTCTGCCTGCTGTATTGATTGGGAATGAGCCTAAAACTGATACCAAAACAATAAAAATGTTCTCTGAGAGTAGGTGGTGATCATGATATGGTTAGGAATCTAAGTTTTTTTTTTTTTTTTTAAATCTTGTATTTCAAAATCTTTAAAAAATCCTTACGGCCTACTTCACAGTCCTGTTAACATCTTTCTTCACTTAGGGTTTTTTCCTTTCCGGGGAGGAAAGTTTCCACCTCTAGTCCCCCAGGATAACGCCCTTCCGGCGGCTCTCAGGGAACCTCTCCAATCCCTGAGGGCAGGCGGCCAGTCCCCGGTCGCAGACTGACCTGGAGCTGCAAGCAAGGCCAAGACCCCACCCCACATCTACACAAGGCGAGGGGAGGAGGGTAGAGGTCTCAGATCCAAACTCCGCCCACCGGGCACAAGACCAGCCGGTGAGAGAGAAATGCAATAAGTCCCACCCACTCTCATCTTCTTCCCTTTCTTTGGACAGACGGGTTGCCCATCTTCTCTATCCTACAGTCGATTGGCCCTCTCCCTCCCGCGCCAGTCCCTGCCCTCCCTGTTGGGGCGGGTGAGTCACGCCAAACTGGGCGGAGAGTCTACTGGCCTCTCTCCTTCGTTCGTCTGGGCGGCGGCGGCGGCAACTGGGGACGGGGCGGGTGGCGCATCACGGGCGCGGAGGCAGGAGGAGCAGTCTCATTGTTCCGGGAGCCGTCGCCACTGCAGGTCCCTCGACTCGGTTGGCCCGGCCCCTCTTAGTACTCCCCAACCCCCACACAACCGCCTGCGGCTCTGAGGAGAAGCGGTCCCGGCAGCGGCAGCGGCAGCAGCAGCAGCTGCAGCATCATTTCTGACCCGCCCGCCATGGAAGACATGGACCAGTCGCCTCTGGTCTCCTCGTCCGCGGACAGCCCTCCCCGGCCTCAGCCCGCGTTCAAGTACCAGTTCGTGAGGGAGCCCGAGGACGAGGAGGAAGAGGACGAAGAGGAAGAGGAGGACGAGGACGAAGACCTGGAGGAGCTGGAGGTACTCGAGAGGAAGCCCGCCGCCGGGCTGTCTGCGGCCCCGGTGTCCCCCGCCCCCGCAGCGCCCCCGCTGGACTTCGTGGCCCCTGCGCCCAGGGGGCCCCTGCCGGCCGCGCCCCCCGCTGCACCCGAGCGGCAGACGTCTTGGGACCCGAGTCCCGCATCGTCGACGGCGCCCGCGCCATCCCTTCCGTCCGCTGCCGCAGTCTCGCCCTCCAAACTCCGAGAGGACGACGAGCCTCCGGCGCGGCCTCCTCCTCCTCCCCCGGCCGGCGTGAGTCCCCAGGCCGAGCCCGCGTGGACCCCGCCCGCCCCGGCCCCTGCCGCGCCCCCCTCCACCCCGGCCGCGCCCAAGCGCAGGGGCTCCTCAGGCTCTGTGGGTGAGTGCAGCGCCCTCCCGCCTCGCGCCGCCCCTCGCGCCCCTCGCGCCCCTCGCGCCCCTCGCGCCCCGCCGTCCCCTCCCTCTTTTGTGTGAAGTCCCCGACGCCTAGGGCAAGGCCTCCTCTCCGCCCGGAGGGGGCTTTGTCTGCCGACGTCGGGGCGATGGCGCCCCCATTTGGTGGGAGGCGCTGGGGAGAAGGGTGGGGCGGCCGCGGAAACCCAGACTAGTTCTTTATTGTCTCGGTTTCGGGGAACACGTGCACCCCACCCCACTCCTACGTCCTTTCCTCTGGTCCCCAGTCCACTGCGACCCGGAAGTTAGGCACCACCCCTAGTAGGAGCTGGGTGTGGACCGAGGAATTAGGGTTGTGGATTCGTTGGGGTGACTTGGCTTCGAGGTGAGGATGGAAAAGCCTTGACTCCTTTATCTTTTTAGGAGGGCCCTTTCTAGACCAGTCTGATTTTCCGAGGGTCTGTTGGTTTGCATTTAGCCCGGACCCCCGGCTCACTCACTCCCTGTCTGGCGTGGGGCCCCCTTACGCTTCACCCCTCCTCCTTATGCGCTTGTGGGGAGCTGGCTTAGTGGAAAACGTCCACAGTGACCCAACTGCAGTGAAGGGAGAGCGCCTCCAGTGGTGTGGTGCGAGGAGAATTGGGAAAAAGAGACTTCTGGCGAAGTCCTGCCACCGCCCTGCTCTGCCAAGGGATATGTGAAGACTCCCCACCTGCTAAACCGAGCCAGGGAAGCGGGATCTGGGCGTAATGTTTCATCCGGGCGCAGTTTTGCAAGGGTCTTAGCTGCAGGGTGAGAGGAATTGCCAAGTATTAGTGTGGACCGGCTTAGCCTCTTACTGCATCATTAATTGACTCTTAGAGAAGCAAGCAAAATGGTTGACATTTTTAAGGGAAAACCTGTGGATTTCTTGCCAGGAATTGACAAAATGATATTGTGACAAATTTACCATGAGACCTAATGAAATATTTTGAGACGGACGTTTTCATATATTGGTGAGAGATGCTGTTTTTTAGAAGAATGTGGTTTTTTAAAATTTTTTTTAGAAAAATAACGTTTTTGATGGACTAAAACAAAACGTGTGTTTTATAGTTTTGAATCTCTTTATTCACTTAGGTACTTGATTATATATTATTTAAAAAGGAACACTGTTTATTGCATTTTGTATCTTGGGAGATTATTTTAGAAGGGATAAAGTTAAGTTTATTAGAGATTAAGAATGCATCTGAGATGCATATGGGTAAATAGGTTGTTGCTTTGGGATATAGTGTCCCAATATATAAGTATAAAGGTCAAGAAGGAAGTGATGTAACTGCCTGCTGAGAGATCTTAATAACCTTGTAGGCTTTGGGAGGTAGTTCCTTTCCTAGAAAAAGAATACCAGTCTGAGATCACACGATTTGTTTTTTTCCATTCACTTGTCCACAGTGGGGAAAATAAGCCAGTTGTGATGCTTCTGAGTAACATTTTATACTAACATACTGGAAGGCACTACTTAAAACACTAGTAGAAGATCAGGAGTAACTGAAGTGTTTTGTTTTTTGTTTTTTGTTTTTTTTTGGCAGGAAAAATACACATTTGAGGGAAACTAAGGTAGAAACGTATAAATTAAGAAGAATTTTTTAGACAGGAAATGTAATGATTGACAAAAGAATAAATACTAACTTGTTTTATATTTCCGCATGGGAATATAGTTTTGTTCTTTGAACATCGTGGATTCAGGAGGTGACAGTGTTTTCTTGAAGTCTTGATTGTTGGAATATTAAGTTCGGAAGGCAAAGGAGAGAGAATATTGCCTACTCAGGAATTCTGTACAATTTTGTATCCATGATACTTGAAATCTTCCATTCCTTTAGTGAATGCAAGGACAGTGATTATGGTTGTGGATATTTAAACTGTTTCAGAGCATCTAGATTTCTTAATGCACTGAAGAGTTTGTTCATTTATTGTGCTCCTTATTGATAGCCTGTTGAGACAAAGATGCTGTTCTAAGCTTTAAGGGGATAGCAATAAGCAAGACACTTGTTTCCCAGGGGAGAGGGATACAGATAATCACAGGAAGAACTCAGAATAGTGTTGTAATGAAATAAACAGAATTATGGCATGGGAAAAATAATTGAGATGTGTGGGGCCTTTTTTTATGTTGGGTGACATTAAGAAAGATCTGGAGAATTCAAGATTTGATCTGCGGATCAAATCCAAGCAAGTCTTGGGGCAAACCCCCCTGAGGCAGTAATGAGCTTTGTTAAATATTTGAACATCCAGTAGGAATGGTGAGAAAAACCTGGGGAAAGTGGTGGCAGGTGAGTGTGAAGCTCTGGGCTGCCCTTAAATCATTTGGGGGCCTCTTAGAGGCTTTAATCTACTTATTTTAGGAATATGCTCCTTAATTACAGTTTTGGAGTTAAAATATAGTCTTGAAGATTCACAAGACTGAGAGGACTGATGTGATTAAAGACAAAAAGAAGATGAGAAATGTGTAGAGCATGGTTAGAAACAGGCTAACCTAATTATAACAGGATTTATAAATTTCCACCATGCCATTTCCAAATGCTTATAAATATGTCATTTTTGTGTCTTGCAAACTGTAAGGACTACTTTTAGTAACATAACCACAGTGCCCTTGGTCTAGTATTTATTTTAAATCAGAATCCAAGCAAGATCCCGCTATTAGCATAAATTGATTTGCCTTTAAATCTCATGTTCTTCTCTTTGAAATTTATTTGTGAAACACTTTTCAATGTTTTTAGTAAAATATAATTTATATATAGTAAAATGCGAAGATCTTAGGTGTGAACAGTTTTACATTTAGCAAATGCTTAGGTTCTACAAATGCATATGTTCTTTTAAATCCACATCTCTGTCAAGATATAGAATTTCTTTATTATCCCAGAAGTTCTCTTGGGTCCTTAGCAGCCAGTTTTTCAATTTGTTTCTTATACTGATTCCTTCTCCCATAACTCCATCCCAATCAACTAATTTTGATTTCTTTTACTGTAGATGAATTTTGTTTTTTATAGAGCATCACATGGAATGATACAGTGCATATTCTTATGTCTGGCTACTTGTATTCAAGAATAATATTTTTGAGATTTATCGGTGAAAATGCAGTACTAATAATTTGTTCTTTTTTACTCCCGAGTAATAATATTCCATGATCTGAAGATACCACAATTTAATTATTCACTCAGTTTTTGTTGGACATTTTAATTACTTATTTTTTTGCCTTAGCATTTATGAACAAAAAATGCTAGGAACATTCTTACATAGATATTTAAAAAAATTTTTGTTGTTGTTGTAGATGGACACAATACCTTTATTTTTGTATGAGGTGCTGAGGATCAAACTCAGTGCCTCACATGTGCTAGGCAAGTGCTCTACCATTGAGGGCTTACAACCCCATAAATATCTTTTTGTAGATAAATGTTTTTATTTCCCTTGTGTAAATACCTAGGAGTAGAATTGCTGATCATCAGGTAGATGTATGTTGAATTTTATAAGAAATTGCCAAACTGTTTTTCAAAGTGATTTTACTTCTGTCAACAACGTATATGAGTGGCTCCATATTCTCACCAACATGTGATATATCAATTTTCTTACTTTCAACTATTTTAGTGGGTGTGTAGTACTTTCTTATTGTGGCTTTAATCCAAATTTCCCTAAATGACTAATGAATTAAAGCATTTTTACATGTTTGGATACATGTATATTTTTCAAAGTATCTTTTCAAACAGTTCCTGGAATGAGCAAATTGGGTTGTTTGTCTCTTTTTTTACTGATTTGTAGTTCTGTTTATGTTTTGGATACATGACTTTGTTATATATTCTCCTAGTCTGTCGCTTGCCTATTGATGAGTTCTTTTCATTTATGGTTAGTGCAATTAGTGTGTTAATACACCTTTGCCTGCTCCAAGGCTCTGAAGATTTGCTGTGTTTTCTTCTGGAAGTTTTAATGGTTTTCATTTTTATGTTTAATATTGAGCTCCATCTTGAATTAATTTTTGCTTATGGTATGAATAAGAAATATAGGATTATTTTTTCCATATTTTTCTCACTTGTGCCTGCAGACTTGTTTTTGAAAGTATTCACTTTCTGATAATTGCATTGGTGTGTTCATCAAAAATCATTCGACCATATGAAGTATGTCTTTGTACATCGGTTTTGTTCTAATGATGTTTGTCCTTACGCCAATACCAGACTTTTTTTTTTTTAATAAATTTTAGAATCAGCTTGTTCATTTTTATAAAATGTATGTTGTGAATTTAATTGGGACTTTATTGAATCTGTAGGTCACTTTGGGGAGAATTGACATCTTTGTGGTTTTATTCTATCTATAGGCAATCAAGTTAGCCTGTTATCATTTTATGGACGCCGACAAAAGACAGGATGCCTAGGCCAGAGACAAAGAACTTTATTATAGCAATGACAGTAGCTCGCATATCAGCATTTTCTTGTTCTGGTTTCCTGAGACCCATTTCTCAGAGTTAACACTGAGAGGGCCAAGTGACATCTGCATTTTCAGTGGGTTTTATTACAAGAGAGAGATTTTGAGCTCAGGGAAACTGAGTCTTTTATGTTGTATAATATGCATGCCTGCCTGTAGCTCAATAGGAAGATACTGTTGCTGTTTTCCAAGGTCTGTTCACCAAACCAACAACTTGGTAAAGATAGGAACAAAGGCCCAGTCTCTCTGTTCCCAAGATGTATAAAAACAAGAAACTCCTAGTTTTATTTCTTGACACTCAACAGTATTAAATCTTCCATTCCATGAACATTAATATATCTCTATCATTTAGAACATTAATTTTTCTCGGCAGTATTTTATAGTTTTGGGGTTTGAAATTTTGTACATTTTATTAAATTTATGCCTAAGTATTTTGGTTTTTGTAGATAATATAAATGATGTTTAAATTTTCTGATTTTCTCTTTGTTAGTTGCTGTTGTTCTGAAATACAAAAATTTGTTTTGTGTATTGTCTTTATATCTGTCTTACATCCTTGCTAAATTTACTATAAACTTTATTAAGGTATATACACACACATCCCTCACATGATTTTTCTGACTACACAGTCCTGTTGTCTGCAAGATAGGATAGTTTTTACTTTCCCTTTCATATTCTTTTGCTATCTTGTGGTGAAAAGACTACTGGATTTCTTGTTTTATTTTGGATTTTGAGTGAATACATTTATGTTTTATGATTAAGTATGTTGTTAGCTGTATACTTGTCCTAGAGGTCTTGACCCCTTAAGTTGATAAAGTTTCCTTCTATTGCCAATTTGCTGAGAATTTTAGTGATAATGGGTGTTGACTTTTGTCACAAGCCTTTTTGGCATCTATTGGGATGATCTTTTTTTTTTTTTTTTCTTTTTTGGACTATTAATAGGACAAATTTCTTAGTTTAATTTTAAATGTTAAACCAACCTTTATTCCCGAGATCTGTCTCACTTGGTAATGATTATACTTTTCATGGAGTGCTGTATTTTTGCTAATATTCTGTTAAAATTTTGTTTGTTTTTGTTGGTTGGAGGGTGTGTGTGTGTGTGTGTGTGTGTGTGAGTGAGCCCTCACGTGCATGCTGAGGATTGCAGCCAGGACCTTGTACATACTAACTTACTGTCTACCCTACATGTTTAAACAAGACAAAACATTTTTGCATGTGTGGTGGTGAGTGATGTTATGTAAACTTATTTTCTTCTAATACCTTTGACTAGTTTTTTGTATTAATGCATAAGTCTATAAAAAATTTTTGGAAATGTTTGCTTTTTATATGCTGAAATGAATTTGTATAAGATTGGCCACTGTTTCTTAGATGGTTTTTAGAATTCACTAGTGATGTCTTCTGTGCTTGAAGTTTTCTTTTTGGAGGTTTTAAATTACAAATGTACTTCTTTTCAGCAATAAGGGCTATTCAGAGTTTCAGTTTCTGCTATTGTCAGTTTTGGTGATTTCTGTCTTTACAGAAGTTTGTCTATTTCATCTTGATGACTGGGTGTTTGGGAATTTGTCCATTTTGTATAAATTGTCTAATTTATTGCCATAAACTTGTTAATAGTATTATCTGTGAATTTAGGACTATAGTGATAGCACCTCTTTTATTTCTAAAACTTGTTCTTGCTGTGTCTTTCCCTTGATCATTTTAATGGATTATCAATTTTATGGATCTCTTTAAAGAACCAACATTTTGATTTCAATGATTTTTCTCTGTTGTCTGTTTTCTGTATAGTTGGGTTATACTTTTATTTTTACTATTTATTTCTCCTACTTGTTTGGGTTTAAGTTATTCTTTTTCTTGTCTCTTAAAATAGAGGCTTTAAATGTCAATTTTAAGCCTTTTTTGGGGGAGGGGTTATCGCGGGGATTGAACTCAGGGGCACTTGACCATTGAGCCACATCCCAGCCCTATTTTGGCTTTTATGTGGAGACAGGGTCTCACTGAGTTCCTTCGTGCCTTAGCCTCCCAAGCCCTTAAGAACATTTACAGCTATATGTTTCTAAGCACTGCCTTAACAGCATCATATAGGTTTTCATTATTTGATTCAGAGTATTCTTTGATTTCTCTCATTATAGCTTGATCTGTGGAGTATTTGGGGAGTGTATAGTTTAATTTCCAAACACTTGAGGGTTTTCCTGAAATTTTTGTGTTGATATTTTTATTTTATACTGCACATGGATATGACTGTTAATTTTGTACTGGCATGCAGTTTATTTTATGGCAGATCATCTTAATTCTTTCAAATTTTTCTTTTAAAGTTAGAATTGTTCTAGATCAAGGGTCAGCAGAATTTTCCTTAAAGGGAAAATTTATTTAAAGAGTAAATCTTTTAGGCTTGCAGACTGTACAATCTTTAACTACTCATTCTCCTTATTCTACAGAAGTATAACTTTGGCACATGAGCCATAAATTTGCTTATTCTTGTATCCCTTATTGTAAGGTTAGTTTTTTTTAACTGTAACATGAAAACATTAAAATTGGACATATTAATGGGGTAGTGTTATGTTTGATTCATTTTACATTGTGTAATTTTTAAATAAGGTTAGTAGTCTTGCTTTTTAAATAAAATATGCCCGGTTGGGAGTCTCCATTGTGTGTTTGGGATGTTCAGTGAGATTTCTCCACTTTGGCTGGTTAAAATTTGTATGTCATGTCTTCCTGCACTGTCTGACCTCTGAAATATTAATTTACCTTACAAATCTGCCATAGACTTCTTGTCTAATCTTGCTGAGTCTTGTGTTGTGCATGGGTAGCATAATATTCGGCAAAAGGTTTAAAACAGTATCCCTACCTAAACCTCTGAAGCATCTTTTCTGTGAAGCTTTCATTTGTTTGTATGTTATCCTGCCCTGCAAATTCCAGATGATCTTGCAGCCTTCTAAGCTCAGCAAAAGTGTGATAATTTTGGACTCCTCCTCCCTGGGCTGTTAATCAATAATTTAAGTCCTTCAGGCTTCCCTTTGTTCAGGACTCACACTTTTGTACTGCCTGCTGTCCAGTGTCTTAAGATAGTCACTTCATTTATTTTGCCCAGATTTATAGTTATTTATGTTGAAAAGGTTATTAGTTATAGACGATATAGTTACTTTCAAAACCAGAAGTTCTATGTGATTTTAAAATGGATTTCCCCTTGTTTTATAATAGTTTTACTGACCAGTCACAATTTTGATTGATGAAAGTTTTTGAAATGAACAAGTCAAAGAAAATAACTTGGTATTTGAGTGTGTGGACACTGGTGAGATTATGATCTCATACATGTTTTTTAATTGACCAGTAATAAATTAAAAGCTGACATTCTACCCCCACACACATATATTGGGGATTGAACCCAGGGGCACTTAACTCCTGAGCTACATTCTCAGCTCTTTTTTATATTTTATTTAGTGACACAGTCTCACTGAGTTGCTTAGGGCCTTGGTGAGTTGGTGAGGCTGGCTTTGAACTCGAGGTCTTCTGGCCTCAGCCTCCTGAGCTGCTGGGATTACTAGCATGCACCACCATGCCCAGCATATTTAGTTATAATTTATTTGACATTATGAAGTTAGGTTTCTTGACATTATCAAGGAGACCGAGTGCATATTCATGATAACTACATCTTTTTTATTTTTATTGTGATCAGCCTTGTCTAGCTTGACTTTTCCAGATAGAACTGTCTAAATTTATTGGTGTTCTACTGTAGGAACACCTGCTAGTCATTTCTCAGGCTATTTCAAACTTGTCTTATGCTTAACACTTTCTCTAGTGTAAAAGAGAAGATCTTTACCTCAGAATCTTTCAATTGCAGGTACAAAAAGAACTTGTTCAAAGTTATTATACCAATTTATAGTGTATTGTCTGCTTGGGCTGCCATCACAAAAATATAGACCAGATGGCTTAAACAACAGAAATTTCTTACAATTCTGGAGATTGGGAAGTCTTAAGATCAGGGTGTTGGCAAAGTAGGTTTTATTCTGGGGACTTTTCTTTTGACTTCTTGGTGACTTTCATCTCTATATGTGGTTGAGGGTAGAGATACACATAGACAGCAAGCTCCCTGGTGTGTCTTCTTGTAAAGGACACTAATCCAGGGCCCTAACCTCACTACCTCATCTAACCCTAATCACCTCCCCAAAACCCCATTTCCAGATACCATCATAAAGGGGTTAAGAATTCAACTTAAAAATGGGGGAGCAAGACATAAACATTTCATCTTTAACATACATCAATTAAGAAATTCAGCTCTGAAGCTGAATTACCTGAGTCTCTCACTAGTTGTATGTACTGGAGTTAGTTTTTCTTTTCAATTTAAATCTGTTAAATGGGTGCTATATTCACACCACTGCTTATGAAATAAGGATTGTAAGAGTAAAATGAATTCTTGCATGTAAAGCATTTGGAATGAGAAGTAGCTCTCAACCATTGTTTTAAACAAAACAAACAAAAACATTTCTGATGATGATTACGTGGGGGGTTTTTTGTTGTAATTTTTCGGTATTTCTGTCTCTTGCATTTGGACAAGGATACACAGGACTGATATTCTATGTGTACAATGAAGATAGACAACCTAGAATCTGGGAGAAAATTCTCACTAAAGTGTTTTTCTGAATTGAATGGAGACCAGTAACAAAAGATTAAATGGAAGTAATTATTAATTTTGTTCAAATTAATCTTTTAAGTTTTGAGCTTGAATAGGATAAGATAATTTATCTAACTGAAAATGTGAGTAAAAACCTTAAATGCAGTACGTTAAATGAGGACACTGTCTAAAAGTTGCTTTAGTTCATAAGGTTTCTTTATGTGAAAGGTTTCTTTAACATAAACATGTTGTATTTCCTCTTGAAAAAGGATAGATCCCCTGGATAGCATTTAGTCAACTTTATAATATATGTGGTAATTTGTCTGAATTAATGGTACTACTATTTCTAACTTCCTTTCTATCTTGGACTTTTCTCTATAGATAAGTTTTTGTTAATTTATTACAAACTGAATCCTTGCTTGCTCCTCTTATCTTTAGTCTCTTTCCAACCTGTCTTTATTTCTGCTGAGGTTATATTCTATTTGTTTTTCAGATGAGACCCTTTTTGCTCTTCCTGCTGCATCTGAGCCTGTGATACACTCCTCTGCAGGCAAGTTCTTTCTGCCAGCCTTTTATTCTCTATGTATTCTAACTTTAACTCTTTAGTTGTATTAACTCCATACAGAGTAGATTGGATTTACTGAAAATTAGCATGGTTCCAAGATTTGTCTACTGAAAAAGTTTAAATTTGCATTTTGTATGCTCTGTCCAAAGGAGAAATGGGCAGAGCTTGATTAATAATTGGAAGCGTATAAGAAATTCTTGGACCCTTGATTTATTTACATATTGACCAGTCCTTTTTTTTCCCATAAAGTTTACTTGAGATAGCCAACTTTAATGTAAATGAATGCCAGTCTGTGGCATTAAATTATTCAGTGCCCCTTCTGTCAGATTCTATTCCCAAATCTTCTCTTTCTCAAAAACTAGTTAAAAGTAGCTTTTTTAGTTAATAATACTTAAGATTTTTCTCAGATTTGTGTCTTTGCATAGCATGTAATTGCCTCTGAAGCCATGTATGTGTTTCTTAGTTTTTTAAATTGACAAATAACTGTATTTGTGAGGTACAGTGTGATATTTTATTGCCCAATACATTGTGGAATTATTAAATAGGCAAATTAGCACATCTGTTACCAGATAGTTTTCATTTATTTGAGAATATTTTAAATTCTCTTGGCTATTTTGAAATGAATGATACATTGTTAGTAACTATAGTCACCATGCTATACGATAGCCATGCATGTTTTATTGGTAATAGTACTATTTTCAGTAATTCAAGTCTACTCATATTTATTGTTATTAACATTTCAATTTAGTTAACAGTGAGTCTTTACTAATACTATTTTATGAGTCTGTCATAAAACTTGCATTGACTCTGTGAACACTGGCATTCTCTAACTTTCCTTTCTGTCCATGGCCACAGACAAAATTATGGATTTGAAGGAGCAGCCAGGTAACACTGTTTCGGCTGGTCAAGAGGATTTCCCATCTGTCCTGCTTGAAACTGCTGCTTCTCTTCCTTCTCTATCTCCTCTCTCAACTGCTTCTTTTAAAGAACATGAATACCTTGGTAATTTACCAGCAGTATCACCAGCAGCAGGAACACTTCAAGAAACTTTAAATGAAGCATCTAAAGAGTTCTCAGAGAAGGCAAAAAATCCATTTGTAGATAAAGATTTAACAGAGTTTTCAGAATTAGAATACTCAGAAATGGGTTCATCCTTCAGTGGCTCTCCAAAAGCAGAATCTGCCATACTAGTAGAAAACTCTAAGGAAGAAATAGTTGTGAAGAGTAAAGATGAAGAGGAGGATTTAATTAGTAACGTCATCCTTCATAATCAACAAGAATCACCTATATCCCTTTCTAAATTGGTTAAAGAAGAGGACAAAGTTATGTCTCCAGAAAAAACAAAGGACAGTTTTAACGAAATGGAAGTTGGAGTAGAAGCACCTATGAGGGAGGAATACGCAGACTTCAAACCATTTGAGCGAGTATGGGAAGTGAAAGATACTTATAAGAAAGACAGTGATGTGTTGGCTGGTCAAGGTAATATAGAGAGCAATTTGGAACATAAAGTGGATAAGAAATGGTTTCCAGATAGCCTTGAGCAGACAAATCATGAAAAAGATAGTGAAAGCAGTAATGATGATGCTTCTTTTCCCAGTACACCAGAAGCTGTAAAAGACAATTCAAGAGCATATATCACATGTACTCCCTTTGACCCAAAAGCAACAGAAAGCATTGCAACAAACATTTTTCCTTCATTAGAAGATCATACTTCAGAAAATAAGACGGATGAAAAAAAAATAGAAGAAAAGAAGGCCCAAATTGTAACAGAGAAGAAAACGAGCACCCAAACATCAAATCCTTTTCTTGTAGCATCACAGGATTCTGAGACAGATTATGTCACAACAGATAATTTATTAAAGATGACCGAGGAAGTAGTGGCAAACATGACTGAAGGTCTAACCCCAGATTTAGTACAGGAAGCATGTGAAAGTGAATTGAATGAAGCTACAGGTACAAAACTTGCTTATGAAACAAAAATGGACTTGGTTCAAACATCGGAAGCCCTGCAGGACTCACTGTACCCTGTAACACAGCTTTGCCCATCATTTGAAGAATCTGAAGCAACTCCTTCACCAGTTTTGCCTGACATTGTAATGGAAGCACCATTAAATTCTGTAGTTCCTGGTGCTAGTGCTTCTGCAGTGCAGCCTAGTTCATCACCATTAGAAGCTCCTCCACTTAATTACGACAGCATAAAACTTGAGCCTGAAAATCCCCCACCTTATGAAGAGGCCATGAATGTATCAGGAATAAAGGAAGACATTAAAGAACCTGAACATATTAATGCAGTTGTTCAGGAAACAGAAGCTCCTTATATATCTATTGCATGTGACTTAATTAAAGAAACAAAACTCTCTACTGAACCAAGTCCAGATTTCTCTAATTATTCAGAAATGGTAAAAGCTGAAAAGCCATTGCCTGATCATTCTGAGCTAGTTGAGGATTCCTCCCCTGATTCTGAACCAGTTGACTTATTTAGTGATGATTCAATACCTGAAGTTCCACATAAACAAGAGGAAGCTGTGATGCTCATGAAAGAAAATCTCACTGAAACTTCCTTTGAATCAATAAAAGAACAAGAAAATAAGGAAAAACTCAGTGATTTTCCTCCTGAGGGGGGAAAGCCATATTTGGAATCTTTTCAGCCCAGTTTAGGTGCCAAAAAAGATTCCCTGTTGCCTGATGAAGTTTCAACATTGACCAGAAAGGAGAAAATTCCTTTGCAGATGGAAGAGCTCAATACTGCAGCTTATTCAAATGATGATTTATTTATTTCTAAGGAAGCAAAAATAAGAGAAAGTGAAACATTTTCAGATTCATCTCCAATTGAGATTATAGATGAATTCCCTACATTTGTCAGTTCTAAAACTATTTCTAAATTAGCCAGGGAATACACTGACCTAGAAGTATCCCACAAAAGTGAAGTTGCTAACGTCCAGGATGGAGCTGGGTCATTGCCTTGCACAGAATTGCCCCATGACCTTTCTTTTAAGAACATACACACTCCTAAAGATGAAGATAAAATGCAAGTCACAGATGAGTCTGATATATCAAAGGTGTCCGTACTGCCTCCAGATGTTTCTGGTTTGACAACAGAGATAGGCAGTATAGTTGAACCCAAAGTTTTTATGAAAGAAGCTGAGGAAAAACTTCCTTCTGATACAGAAAAAGAGGACAGATCACCATCTGCTATCTTTTCAGCAGAGCTGAGTAAAACTTCAGGTAATCAGTTTGTGTACTGTTTTATCTTTTCACATCACTTTTTGACTTTGTATGAAATACTCCTTCTTTGTATCACGTAGTATATTTTATAATACCTAATATGTCACATTGATTAGAACTTTCCCACCATCTCATTTAAAAGTGTTAGTGCTTTTTCTACCTCTTTTATGCTCACCACACACTCTTGCTCTCAATTTTTCCACATAGTTGTTATTCACTTATATTGCATCATTGAATTTAATTAGAATCAGCTTCAAAATCTATTTTTTCTTCAGTGTTTATTGATAACATGATGAGCAAGAAATACTAAGATATTTTCAGATGTTTATTTTTATCTTAGAAATGATTTTATATTTACTTTATAAAGAACATTTCTATGGCATATATTTTAACATTATTTTTCCAGTGAGATGTGTAAAGTCAGGCATATTGAGTGGAGGCATTTTTTTAGAAAAGTGTAAATTGAGGTATGCTATTAGGAATTCTTCTAAAAGTTCTGATTCTAATTTTTTCTTTTGACTACATTTCCCGTATACCTGATTTGCATAAAGTGACTTGCACACTTTTTAAAATTTAGTATTCTAATTTGGCTGTGTTTTCTATTCTATTAAAATAGGAATATGTTTATGAATACAGATAGGTAGCACTTGCTACCATCAGATCAGTCTAGAAAATGTTGCAGTATTACAAGAAAGAGGAGATTCTAAATATTCAGGTAATGAAGTGTGAGCATGGAGACTTCGTGTTTGATGGATGTGAACATGAAGATAAAAGGAAAAGTCAAAGATGACTCCAGGAATTCTGGCTTTCTGGTGTGTGCATATATAGACAGCAGTATGAGAAGCTGAGGTGTAGGGAACATGAGAAAAGTTGACTAAAGAGGAAAAGATAAGAAATTCAGTTTTGAATATGTTGGCATTGGTACCTATGAAATACCCAAGAAGTTATGGATATTATGTATACCTATAAACATTAGAATGGACTTCAAGGTAGAAACTAAAGCCATAGAGATCAGTTGTGGAGAGAACCAAGAGAAAAGAAAGATTTAACGTAAAATAAATGATCAGCATTATAAAATCTAGAGAGGTCAGTTAAGCTAAGGATTGAAAGTTTGTCAAAATGGAGGGAAAGAGTTGGTTTTACAACAGCAAATGATTTAGGGAAGGGCTAGGCTTGAGTGAATGTTAGAGCAAATGGATGTAAATAAATGTTGACTATTTTAGTTTGAGAACATGAAGGAAAGTGTTAGCAATCAGAAGAGAGAGTATGAGGTTGAAGAAGGGCAATTTTTTCGAGGAGGGAAAGTGTGATCCCAGGTGCTGGTATAGAGTCTGAGGGTAGATTGTAGAGCCCAGGTGGAAGAATTAGTCTTAGGAAGAATGATAGTGCTTTGTAGTGAATGGAAGGTTTGGGTGTTGGTACTGCTGGAAATTTGTGGCTGGAAGTTTGAGAGAATTATTTAATGGTTAACATTTATTGTTTGAAGCAGTGTGTGTGTTAGGTTCTTTGCTGAGAATGAACTGGAACATGCTTGGGTGGAGTAGATATGAAATACTTTCTGACTGGGGAAACATTCTTTGTGTTTGTGAAGATTGAAGGATGATAAATATCCTGGGTATGGGTTCAGAGAAAGCAAATGGTTGTATTGACTTAAGGTTGTGTTTTGCTAGATGTGCTCAGTGGAAGGACAGTGAGTCAAGAGAGTTATGGATAATAGCAAAGAACAGTTGAAAGTGATGGACTATGGCATATAAATTGAGGAAATGAAAAGAAGGCATTGATAGGAAGAGAGTAGGTCATTGAACTTGAGGTCCAAATTAGATCTAAGAACCCAAAGTGGTGGGAGTAAAAATGTGACTGCCAAAATGTTGTGGTCAGTTTAGTATTGTGAGTGTCTGTGGCTGGGTGTGTTGGATGTTGAATTTGGAATTTCAGAACAATAGCTGTTCAATTTGAATACAAATGGTCAATGTTTGCCCATGAGACAAGGCCTACAGTGGAGCTGGGTAAAGGTTGCTAGAGTTTGAATTACATTCTGGAAAGTCACCCATGATAATGACCTGACTTAGATGGAGAAGATGATTAGGAATTAGGGACATAAGTCTTTGGTAAAGGACAGTGAGTGAGACAACTGACAAGATAGTAGATGAGAGCAATTAGGAAGGATAGAGAATGACATAACTGAATAGTCAAGGTCTGTTTAATAATTGTCTGGAAGTCGCAATGGTGAGCAGAGGGTAGTACCTCTCCCTCATTTAGATGTAGAATATAGGAGAGCACACAGCCTCCATTTAGAAAGTTCTATGGGAAAAGCAGTATCCATCCTCAAGGAAGAGTCAGGTTTTGGTGAAGGTGAGGTAATGCATTCATCAAGTTGTAAAGAAGTTAGTAAAGTTAAGGATTATGGGAGCTGGTTCATGTGGAAGGTGGGTTTCACAAACATGGGAAAGTGTTTTGGGAGGGATCAATGGAAGGACAATACCTGAGAAGCCCAGTACAATGTGTTGATGATAATGTGGGTAAAGACCAAGGAGAAACCAGGATGTGAGCAGGACTGAAAGGCTTCTGATGAATCCAGCACTGCCTGAGAACTTAAAGCTTCTAGTCCTCTGGTAGATGGAAGCTCCCAGGAGTTTCAGGAATTGACTATTTCTTGGATTGATTTTACTAAACCTCTAGAGATCTATGGCCTAATAGGTCAATGTTAAGGGAAAAATAGGGCCATTGCCATGGAAGGTTTAGTGGTGTTGGTTGATTGAAGAAAGTTTAAGTAATGCTTGGGCTTTTTTTCTTTCTTTCTTTTCTTTTTTTAAGGAAAATAATTATTTATGCCTTTTCTCTGAGAAGATTGTTATTCATGACTTTCTTATTCAAGGTTTTTTTTTTCTTTTTGTTTTTTTATTTATTTTTCTTCCCCTGCTTCTCCCACTTTCTCCCTTTTCCTCCTTTCTCAGATTAAATTGTATATATTTATAAGATACAGCATGATACTTTGATAAATAATATATAGTATGTACTGACTGAATAGAGTAATTTGGATGCACTAAATGTGTATATTCTTGAAAAACTATGGGAAGGAAATCAAGTGTTGGTATAATGAAAATAACGAGTGACATTAGTTCTAGTCTTGGCTGTACCACTGACAATCACTTCATCTTTCTTCATGTCACTTTACTTTTCTATAAAAGGAATGGGGTGAGATTAGATCTTTATAACTTGATAATTTCCTTCTTTGTAAAGCCATCTGTTAAAAACAGTTACTTATTTCAAGCATTGTGCTAGTTTTTTTTTGGTGGGAGAGAGAAAAATGAATACGAAATTTTGCCCTGATATAACTTTCAGTTGGTAGAGACAGACCTGGTTAAGAACAGAACTACATTGTGATACATGTTATAATGGGTACAGTCATTTACTTCCCTATCTTCCCAAAAGTATGGGCTAAGCATACTGAAGTCAGATGTAACAGCATATATACCATTAGACTAATAATAGAGGCTCAAATGGCTTAAGAACTTTACAGCATTCCTAATTATGATATATAGGAAATTTTGTTTTTTGCAGTGCTGGGGATTGAACCCAGGGCTTCACACATACTAGGCAAAAACACTCCACTTGGGTTTTTTTTTTTTTTTTCAAATGTCCAAGTCTTATTATTGTTTTTATATTTAATATTTTTTAACATTGATAGATATTAGATAACAAAATGTCAATTTCCTCAGGTCATTTATTATCTCAAATTTTTGTTTTCTTAAAATGACATTTTATAGGCCGAATTCAGTTTTAATTTTGGAAAGGAAGACATTTCATAAGGAAAATGAACAAGGTATTATGGTGCATACTTTGTTGCTTTGTTACTTTTTTAAGTAAAACTTGTCAGGTGGAAAAGAATACTGGCCCCTCCCCTCCACTGTTGAATGAAAAATTTGTAACAAAATGTTCTTAATTTGAAATGTAAATGCTGATTTTTTCTTAGTCTATATTTTATTTGCACTATATCTCATCATTCAGAGTAAGCTTTTAATTATCTAGGCCCAGTATTTTATATGTGTTCTCTATTTAAATTTTTTAAAATCCTGGCTAAAAATTTATGATTTTGATACTTATTTTCCACTTTTGTTTTTAAAATATATTTTGAATATTATTAGCATTAAAAGTTTTCAGTTTTTCACTCACTTTAAAAAATAAAAAAAGTAGAAAGTAAAATACTTGTTAATACTTGCATAAATTTATTCTGTATCCCAGCCAAATGGGTAAAACTTCTGAAAAGAAAGTTAACAGACTGGTGGCACTATCACTTGAAACTTAAAATGTTTGTCAGATGATGCATGGAATCTCAGTGTGGCATAGGAATGATGGTTTATGGATATCAGCATTTAAGGGTTGTGAGTGAAAAAGCATTGGTACATGGTAAAGGAAAAAAGAGGCCACTGGTATAGGAATGGCTTCACAGAAGAGGTGATTTTTTGAAAGTTACAGATAGCAAATATGAGTAAATAAACATAGACATTTATATGTGTGTACAAATAGGCACACACAGAAGTTTTTCCAGATTCTGTTGTGGTAGATACAATACGTTCAGTATCTAATCCTACTTACTTTGTAGCTAGGCACAGAGGTAGATTTGTACACTGGCCACATGTGACTAATTGTGAAGAAACATTTAGGTTTATTCAGAACTAAACTGAAAAAAATCAACCTATGCTAAAGAAGGTTTTTGGTCAGTTAGTTGCTAAAATTATCTCTGGAAATAAGCAATAAAAACCCATAGTATCATTTATGATTTTTTTTCTGTTTTAAAGCTAATTGCTTTTTTAAAAAAAGTTAACTTTTTACTGGAAATAATTTCAAACTTTAAAACAAAGTTGGAAAAATAAACAGTACAAAGAATGTTTTATAACCCTTTATTTGACTTCATCTATTTTACCCCATTTGTTTTATTTTGTGATTTCTCTGTGTGTGGGTATATATATACATATACATTTATATATCTCTCATTTGTG